TACCCGCTCAAATTTTATTGTAGGAAGATCTCCTGACTCTCCTGCTAATGCGCAATCCCGCGCGGTCGCGAATGGGTTAAGGAGTGGAACGTTTCTCCATAAAAACTCTTAAACAAACTTGCGCTTACTATGGGAGCACGTAGCAGAGCATGCTTTGCAGTCCGCAGTGTTTATAAACCATTGAGAACCAGCTCCCCTCTTCTGAAAGTTAGCATGAACTGGGGTACCTTCACCCATCAGGCACTTCAGTCGAAGTCTTTACATAGAAGTGGCTTTCCAATCGTCCTATTGCGTGTTTTTGTTAGTAACCCTCTAAACTACAGTGTAACAACTCCTACGTATGTGCCGAATTACATCGAGCGTGTCAGCTAGCAATGAGAATAATGCAGAAGCTACTTTCGTCCTTAAGTTTTGCACACCAGAGTACTTTTCTTCAATTACATGGTCATGAGAATAAGAAGAACAAGGAGTGAATCAAGCTGCCATGAAATGAATCAAGCTTTCGTAGTGCTCAGAAATACCCAGCTAAACTAAATCCTCTTGAGCATACGGCAAACCAAGGCGGATCGAAACTACAAAAGGAAATAAAAACGAAACTGACGCGTTACCGCGTCAGGCTGTCGTCAATGTATTAACGGTTATTTGAAGGTGTCGTACAAATCAAGTGCTGTCTTTAATGTAAGATAGTTTCAACAAATTGGTGGTACAAATTCGAAATACAGATGAGCGCATGGATTCAAATACGCTTGAATACCACTACTATCGAATAGAAGCATTTACCTTCAGCAACCTTAACAGAAATTTGACTCTGCCAACCGGTATCGATCGTTTCTGCTCACGGTCCACCATGTTCCAAACTAGCTAAATTATAGAGATCTACACACATCTTTTCATGTTGATCCACTCCACTCAAATCCTAAATGCCTGCAACCACTCCATACAGAGAACTTCATGCATTTCCTCAGTGCTTTTAATTTAATTCTTTGGACAATGTATCCAGCCTGATTATATTCGATTAGAATAACTGCTTAAGCCCGATTTATTTGTTGTGTGGAACAGTGCCTGTATTAGGGTTGGAGCCAGAGCGAGAATTTTTAACCTCGATGACACGAGGACAGTCATGCGACTTTACTGCCACCATGACTCATTATTATTATGGTAGGTGGTGAGAGCGGGATGAAACTAAGATCACAACAGTGGATTTAAAACGAGTCTCATTGTTAGAAATTCCCTGCGTAGCTTGGACGTCTTGGCGTGTGTCGGTACCTTCTATCTTGTAACACGAAAAACTGAGTGGTGGGGACGTGTAGCGCAACAGAAAAGGATTCAACAGTAGAGTGATCGCATGTCAGGATAGACGGGTTAGATGACATCAATACCTAAGTGCAACTGAAGTCTATTAGTGACAGGTGGTCGCGCATCCTCACTATCCTCCTCCTCGCGATCACTGCCTTCGTCTGACACTAAGCAGCATGCGAATGCCGCAGAAGTTTGCTCGAGGGTGTTTTGAGTTGGCGGGTGAAAGACAATTGTGCCTATCATAAAACTTGGTGACTAATCTCGAGCCGGCCCGATTTTGAGCGGGTTAGTTTTTTTCCATGCAGTAAAAAAAAGTTAACGACTTCGTATAGCATTCATTACCGAAGACTTTTGAGAATGTATACTCGATATCGGTGAGTTGGGGTAGGCGTGTCACCGGAAGTGACGTGCACTTGATAGAACTATGTGGATAAGCTGCTTCCAACATACATATCAGCAAAGCATGCTGGCAACAGCTTATCCACGCACTTCTATCAAGTGCACGTCACTTCCGGTGACACGCCTACCCCAACTTTCGGATATCGACTGTACAGACATACACATACAAACCGACACACCAAGTTAGCGCTTCATTAAACGAGGATATTTATTTATCTATTCTTTTATTTATTTATTTATTTATTTATTTATTGCACGAAAGGTGCGCCAACAGTGCCAGTAGTCAACAGAAAGTCAAGAACTCGAACAAAGAATCCAATACTCAAAGAAGAAAACGAAAAACATTAAACAGAACGACCAGAAAAGTAACACCAACATTCAACCATGGGTTGAAGAAATAGGTCCAATACCGGTAATGTGTACAAGGCAAGCAGGTCGGAGCTAAGGAACTTGCGTCAAATGTTGTAAGTTAAGCTGCAGAAGACAGTTTCAGTAGTACCGAGAGAGACCAAGAGCTTTCTAATTACCAAAAGAGGCTATTGAAAAAGCTTCATTCATAGATTAAATAAATGTAAGGAGGGACTTGTTATCGCCGCAAACACTTTTTGCGAGGGTAACCAGAAGTAAGCAGAAGAGTGCAGGTCAGTTTGGGCAACGCAACTAACCGCAGTTATTCCCATGTTACCATAGATATGCCAGTCTCTCTTCCCCCTCCCTCACAGTCGACGATGACCTTCACGTACGAAAGGAACAATTGTGAACTGACTGTCAGTGTGCTCTCTTAGTTAGTCACATAATAAGGTATTATTACTATCTCAGCAACTCATGGAATTGGTATTGCGAGATGAGATTGCCTACTTTAGTTTTTTGCTTCCCCTCTTGATAGTCCAAAACATTAGCTAAAGACATTCGCAACTACTCGGCACATCGTTCACAGAACACGGAAAGAAATCACCTGGAAGTTTCGAATGTCAGCATAACTGAGCAAAGCATCCTCTTCGCTTGAGTAGAATAAGGAGAAGTTCTCCATGATGATGGCTAACAACAAAAGATTAATTTTCTATTGAGTAAAACGCAGAAAATAAGTAGCAACTCACCCACTAGCAGGTTTCTTACGATATAGGTTATAATAAGGTAGAAAGAGCAGAAGTAAATTATAGCCCCGTAGTAGTTTCCGCAGTCTGTATTCCAGTAGTTCATACCTTCTTGCCAATAGCAGAAAGGAGGGCTTCTCTAGAAAGGTCTTTTTTGAGGTGACCCTTCAGCAGTTCGAGAGTAGGGAAAATGTAAAAAAGATGGTGAATTTGTACCAACCATGCAGTCATGCATGATGTCGTTCCAGTCCTCGCCAGTGATACTTCTGAAGAGCACTACAAGCGCTTCTGATCCTGTTCGAAAGTTGACGTGTCTGAAAAATTGAGGAATTGAGCCTGTACACCGCGACAGACTGTATTAAGTCTATTCAAAACATGCGGAAACATCTCTAAGACTTTCGTGACAGCCACCACCATTCAATGGGGGACTAGCATTCATTATAGTTCTATTGACTAGAGGTACCATCTTTAGAGCTAACATCCGATCACTGAAGAAGTGCTAGAAAGTCGCAGAATCGAAAATAAGTCTTGCGCATTTTCGGGGAAATTCTTGCAATTTCTCCCCACACATAACTATCGTACTGTATCACCTTAATGTAAAGACAGCAACAAGGTTTCACACAGGATCCGGTTCCCTAGAAACAAAGCTAGAGGAAGCATAGAACAAAAGAAGCATGGGAAGAACAAGAGTCAGTTCCTCAACGCTGCCCCCGATATCGGTCCAATAAGAATTCGGGTGAAGTAAAAGAGGCAGGGCAACATTCTCAGTATCATTGCTGCTATATTTATTTATTTATTTATTGTGGATTCATGTATTTATATACTTGTAATAATATTGAACACGCCATAAAATTAAGAAATAGCATGAAGTTAAAAATTTTCAACAAACTATCAAAATATCAGTAACAAAACCAGTGATAAATCAGCGACCTGAGGTTGAGTTCACTAGCCTATCTGCGATCTACAAGTAGAGACGTGCAGCCTAAGCGAAATCGCAGTACTTTAAGAAATGGTGGAATGAAAAGGGATTCCAGCACTAGTTTTGAAACGGTCTCAGGCTCTAACTCTCACATACCTGCATCAGTCGGCTATGATGCCCGCTCGCCACTAGGGGTCATAGGAGCTTACCGAAACTCCGAAACACGGGTATACCGACCACCCTCGTGGAATCGGCAAGCTAGGTAAGTGTTATGCGCAAAGCTGAGCCGACCTGAGCAGTATACCACACCCCTCCTCTCGTGCTTGATGGTCGGACAGCGTTCGTACCGATTAGTAGCAAAGGAACCATGAATCAGAAGGGATAGTTCAATACTGGAGCAAGGGCTACCTAGAAAAGAAACCGCTTGACAAGCAAGATATGATGCGGAACATCGTAAAGCTGTAACTATAATGAAGATGAGTGATATGTAGCAGAAATGTCTAGGGCTCCTCCTCGGTGGCACTACCAAGTGCTTGGAAACAAACAGGTGGTACATAGCAAAAAACAGAAGTAATGGCAACATCCATTTCATAGTATGGAATGAAAGATAGCTTGACGTAGGCGACTGAGGCGATAGGCATTAGAGAGATACGATGACTTGCGAAAGAAGGCCAACAAATGTCCACAGGTGTTTCGAATCCGATGCGCAAAACCCGATCCAACAAGCACAACAATCGGTACGAGTCCATAACTCCAGGATGAGCTAATGACCATTAGCCATAACTGGGCAATGAGTCGAATGCCATAGAAATATCTGAAGCAAAGTCAAACCGGAAAAGAATACTGTGAATCTATTAAGTTTTTTATATATGCTATGAATAAGTAGATGTTACCACTAGCAAGAATCGTGGATTTTCAAAACCTCCAAAATGTCGATCTTGCGCAGCTGCAATCGAAACTGGTGCGAGTTTTCACACAAGAGCAAGTTGTGGGGCAGCAATCGGAGCCATCTAGCTGTATTTAGACATTTCCTTTGTCTTTTGGAACATTTTCTCACAAATGACTTATGAATCAACACTTTCCTCTCCTTCCCTTACTGATGAGCACAGAGGAAGGTTATAGAAATTCGTCTAGTCTCCGTCTAAGGGCACGTGCGAAACGGAGACTAGACTATAACTTTGATTCCCAAACCTCCAACCCAAGAATAGAATAAAATAAAGTACTGTTATCAGTATGAAATTGGATAAAATATTGTAAGTAAAATTACAAACCTTGAACGTAATAAATAATTCGAAATAGAAGAAAACATGAAATAAAATATATTAAAGAACTCAAGATGTAGGCATAGATCGGCCTCTCGCTCTAAAATCGGCTTGACGCGCTTTCAAATAGCTCTGCGATACTTTGAGGAAGTCGAATGTGTGGCGCAACGCGACAGACTGAATTGTTCTGGATACTCTATTTTTTAAGTCGTATATTTAGGTCGTCATTTGTGTTGATTGGGCTAAGATTTGTTCGGCTTTCGTTTTCCTTTTGGCGTAGAAAGAGATGTTGTTCAATTT